GAATAAATAAATAAATATCAATTAATAGCATGAACTCGTAAGTACGAGTAGATGACTAAATAATACGTCTAGTTTCCTTTAGTTTCCTTTCCAAACCCTCAAACATCTGCTTGCATGGACAAAAGCACCTGAAATCAGAATTTACACCTTTCCACCACCTCTGCGTAGGAGCGTAATGCACGGCGCACACTCGGACCAAATCGATCAGTGATAGCCGAGCTCCTCTTTCACTCATTTGAAGGGAAATATGTGTTTTGAAGGCACACTGAAGTTTCCGAAGGTGTATCCTGACAATGGCACACAGGGAGTCGAACTTTTGAGTAGCTCAGAGGGTAGCTTTTTGGTAACCCATCTAAAATATCTCCTGATCTAGCGGGTCTTCAGGAAAACTGTAAAGCTTGTTGGAAAGAGAAAAGATGGGCGCTCTGAAGACGGTTTGTTCTGGTGAAATTGCATTTGAAATAAGTAATCTTCGCGTGAAGCATAAAAACCCGCTCGCGATTTACCCCTAGCTCATCCGAAACCCATCCGAAATATTTCACGAACGGGGAAACATTCAGATTGCAACTAGGTAGAAAACGCAACAGTAGGAACATTGCCTTTGCATGCTGCTAACCATTCCTCAAAAGCCGCGCACCTAAAAGAGATATAACCCCCGAAAAGACCCCAGGACGTTGGCAGGTCCAACAACCGCGCTCCAATGACGTTTTTCCAAGTGAAAGCGGTCGCAACGTTGCGATCGATAATAGCCAAGTATAGAACGATATACTGCCGCCTGGTTATCCATTTTTTCATTTGGCTCCGCATTTTTTGTATTTTTCATGTTTCGCTTTGTTGTGTCGTGCATGTTTTCATGATTTCCCCGTCACCATTCATTGAATGCACATCTGGGGCCTGACACGCTGACCTTGGGGCTATTTTTTCACCAAGTTAGCTTAGTTAGCCCCCATGCTGTACCCTGTATGTGTTACCTTCATTGGCAACTTGTTGCCAACCACCAGGCAAAGAGTGGTTGCCTTGCTTCCAGAAGCTTTTGGTTCCGTGCCGAGAAAGGCAGCTGGGTCATTTTTGAGGTACTTTCAAAAATCGTATTTTTTTACCAGAAGATGGCCGCTGGGATAGTAGTTTAGACAGCGATCGGAAAGAGCTCCAGCTAAACTTTAGGATCTCGAGCAGTGTCATTTTCAAATGTGTGACCCTGAGCTGTGGTGGAGTAGGCAAACATTGCTCGGTTGTGGGACCAAATGGTGGGGATTTTCATCCCCCCTTTGCAGTTGATTACAATAGGGTTCGCTGGTTACCATAGCGCTAAGAAGAAGGAATTTCTTCCAAGGAAGAGAGCCTCACCATATACACCGTTTTAGCGCCCTACTTGATTGATAGGATTGCGCGACCGGTTCTGTCATTTCTGGGGGATGTAGCCACTGGCGCTTCAGGGGGTGATTCATCTACAGGGGGGAGGGGGCAAAAAAGACACTTTGGCCGAGTCACATATCAGCAAAGTTTTCGCAGCCCAGACAGAGGACGTGGATACGAGTACCAGTGCCAGTACGAGTGCCAGGGCGGGAGATACCCAAGATGTTCGATAAACAGGAGCAGGAGCTCGCCCTCTCGCCCATCACCTTCATGTACACCAAAATATGAAGTCATCTCCAGCCTGACTGGAGAAGACCTTTGGAATTCATGTCACCTCCAAACAGCTGCGAAACTTCTAGTATGGAGTCACCCATGGATAGCTACCAGTACTCTCGATCTGGAAGACCTCCAACATCGAGCAGCTCCGACAACGTCGCTACGGTCTAGGACATCATCTTCACCGCAGTCGCCAAGGCGCGGGTTGATGGTATGGACCGGAAGTTCCTGGAATGTGAAGACCGATATTTTCTTCGTGGACCCCGGACTGAAGTGAACGCTGACGGTTACATCGACCAACTCGTGGAGAATATCCTGCCTTCATGTCATCGCCTGTACCTTCTTGGAAACTTCGTACTGCTACAGGATTGGGTGCCTCCACACGGAATCGAAGGGCGTTGGAAAAACTCTCGCCTACTTGGAATGGAAGGGCGTTGAGTACCTGAAGAAGGTGGAATATCTAAGCAGGTCACCTGACCTAAACCCCCAATTACCTGGTTCGGGCGGAGTTCAATAGGGTGGTCTACAGTGGCGGAGAAATCAACGATCTCGCTGAACTCAGGCACCACTCGGTCGCGTGGCAGAATCTCTCGATGGCGCTCGTCCAGAAGGCTGTGGCGGAGTATCATGATAGTATACAATGTGCTGTTGAATATGGTGGTGGAAATGTCCATTCAGAATTTGGCAGGATGTAACTTCTAGTACCTCAAATCAAGGAAGAAAAGTGGTTTTTTGGCCCCCTGCAGAGACACCTATTCCATATCCAGTTAAAACGATGTCCAATCAGTAGAAACGACGGGAGCGGGAGAGAAGTTGTGGACAGTACCCACAAGTGCCCCTCGGAGTATCGGTCAACTCATGAGAAAAATTTTGACCGAACTTCAATATTTTCAAGGGAGCGAGGCCCTCTGTCATTTGTGCTTCTGGGACAGTCAAGTGTAAGGACTAGATAGCGAGTTGATTTGTACGAATTGGTTTTAATCAAGGAACACAGTAGGTCCAAATCCAAGGCAGGTGGCCTCCCTGGACGAAGTTTTCTCCCAGATAGAAGTCACTCAAGCGGAAGCGATTGGCCATTTCAACGCCGTACCATGAAAGTAGCATCAGGACCTAACTCAGAGAAATGCCGCTTGTGGCTCCAACCACGTTGTGGCTTGGTGGAGATTCATATAGCGAAGTGTGTCGAAAATGATGAATTTCAATTACCGTTTTGGATATGAGAACAGCGACTGCGAGGGACGGTAAAGAAGCTGTGGGATGCTTACTTAACACGCGTTTCATAGACCACACACCTGGATCTCAAATTACGGAATGATCTGATACGAAATTCTAAAATTGGTCACGAATTTTGGGACAACCTAATATAAAGCAGAGGTTGTGTGTATGTGTCTGTGTGTGTATTTGTTTTTATATCAATGTGACCGCTCGAAAATCGGGGTGCTACGTGAAAATACTCTCAGGGAATTAAGGAACTGATTATGTGTGGGATGGATGTGGCATGGGCCAACATTTGCAGAGCACACACAAGCTAGCCTAAGCTCCGCCCACAATGGGCGGGCGTTCGCCGAAGTGAACGGTGCCGAGGACAAAAACTCTTGAAACGCATCCAGAGCAACCCAGGAAATGGAGAATATGAGTCAAACTGAGCAATGTGTTCGCAGATGATGTGATGAAGAGACACCCACAGGGAGTATGTGGTGTACCAAACGGTTGGTGCCGTCTGCGATAGTTCATTTAGCGAATCCTTGACAATAAGGAGGGTGCCCTACAGAGAATTTTGACGACCGTCTTCTGCGAGGGGTAAATACAAGGAATAAAACAGTAGGGCATGATAATTTTTTTAGAACTATTTTTTTTAATCGTCCGCCAGACCCGGGCGGTCCGGCTGGTCCGGCTCTCGTTTAAAAGAGTCTTTCAAAAAAGAAATTTGAAAGAGTCTGGGGGAATAGCGATTCCACGTCGTGGGGAATACCCACTTTACGCGTGGAAGGAGGACCGGCCTTCGTTCGAAAGTCTTGGGTGAGAGAAAAACTGGCCCTCTTCCGAAAATCTTGTGGAAGATACCGACTTCACGCGTGGAAGGAGGACTGGCCTTCGTTCGAAAGTCTTGGGTGAGAGAAAAACTGGCCCTCTTCCGAAAATCTTGTGGAAGATACCGACTTCACGCGTGGAAGGAGGACTGGCCTTCGTTCGAAAGTCTTGGGTGAGAGAAAAACTGGCCCTCTTCCGAAAATCTTGTGGAAGATACCGACTTCACGCGTGGAAGGAGGACTGGCCTTCGTTCGAAAGTCTTGGGTGAGAGAAAAACTGGCCCTCTTCCGAAAATCTTGTGGAAGATACCGACTTCACGCGTGGAAGGAGGACTGGCCCTCATTTGAAAGAGTCTGGGGTGGGAGGAGAATGGGTCCTCATTTGAATGATTTTGGGGGATTACCGACTTCACAAGTGGAAAGAGGACTAGCCTTTGTTTGAAAAAGTCTGGGGAGGGGGCGGGAGAATACCGACTCCACAAATGTAAGGAGAGTTGGCCCTCATTTGAAAGAGTCTTGGGTGGGGGAGAACCGACTCTCTTTTGAAAATGTCGTTGGGGAATACCCGCTTCACGCGTGGAAGGAGGACAACCCTTCTTCGCTGGGCGATTTGACTGGTGACAAAGAAGTAGCTTCTTCGAGCTGATCTGGACTATTCTCTCCGAGCTCCGCAATTTCTCCTTTGTCAAGGTTGTCAAAAGACCGAGGTTTTTCATGCACAGGAAGGGCTTGGATTCGTTGGAGTCCAGTGATGGGGCACATATGTGATGTCATCGGTGATGAGCATGTCGTAAGGTGAAATTCCATTTGCCGCTGCGATGGATTTTGAAAACTCTTATTAATGAAGATAGAAGTAGAAGGCATTCTTTTTGGAACTTCTTCAGAGTCCGACACTTTTATCATACAATATAGCTTGCAGTCAGTGGCTAGAAACGTGTCTCCATGATGAACTACGGTCAACAACGAACGAACTACGGACTGAAACGAGAAACAAAACATCCCCAGAATAAAGGGTTTCCACATTTGGAGGGTTCAAGGTGTGTCGACGATAAATGTAACAGTGGACTTCCTCAGTTGATGTACAATGTACAAGTAGTCCATCATAGGCAGTGCTGTATTTAGTCCATGCTTGTCCATGCCACCCCATCTCGAACGTGAGCTGGCCTCAATAATTGATTCTTTTGGTAGGGTTGGATTTTGGCACAGACAGCCAAGAAATTATATCCGTTTCTAATTGTAGTGTGTACAGCAGGTTCAGAAGCTTTATTTCTTATTTTCTGGAATGGCGAAGTTTCATATAGCTATCACTTGTTTTCACAGGTTTAAAATACTGTTAAGGTCAAGTACTCTCTGCCCATGTTGCGGGAAAGGTGGCGATGAAATCATATTTGAGTGGAATGCCCGAGTGTAAATTTGGTATAAATGATAAGATCGCTGTTGATGCAAAAGGAAAGGGAGGCAGTGATGAGCCAAACAAAGGGTGAGTCCTTCTTCCCTTATAAGGGAGCTTTCATATTTTTGTGGAGCTTTGTTACCGATGTCATTGACATTATTACGTTCGGGTTAAGCGCAATAAGCTGGTTTGATAAAGAGATAACATTGCTAAAGTACATTATGAACGAATGGTGAAACGAACTCATGAAAAAAAAACATTTGAATATCAGAAAACAAAATAAACTGACGAAATTTTGAATCTGATTCTTGTCGTTAAAGGACCACACCAGGATGTCAGTGATTTCAAAACGTGTGGGTCTTGAACTGCACAAGGAAATGCATCTCGAAAGCGCTCTTGCGCTATCGTAGGAGAAGCATTTCGATTTTTCTCCATCTTGCGAGCATGGAACTGAGAAATGGAGATCTGCGCAATGTATTTCCGCTCGAGTTGCGCCGTGGTTACTGAAACATGTCACTTCGGAAACTGCTCCTTGTCCACAGCGATAACATCCTTGAGCCGTCGCGTTATTTATCGTACAAGTCATATTCGATACTTCCTTAGTGACCATGTTGATATCTTCTTTAAGTGTAACTCAGAGTTCTGCCGTAACCAAGGTTGGTGGAAGTGCACCGACAGAGTTAGGGCCTCGCTTGGACTTGCCGATAAACACCCAAGGTTGTCGCACGGTTAGGCGATTTTTGTGTTGTTTCTCGAACGGTGCCGTAATGATGTTGTCCTTGCAGTTACACAAATTCGAGCTCTGCTGGTTGACATATGTATGCAGTTATGTGACACACCTCAATTCAAATTTTTTTTGCATGCTGGGAAAATTCGCATTTCAACGGTAGATGATGAGTTCCGTTCTAAATGGCGTTTCCTTCTTCACTGGTGATGGATTGTGTTCAAAAGTGAGACTCAGACTCACTCAGACAGTCAACGAGCTCAAAGTGAGTCATAACTTCCTATGTTGAAGAGGTACTGTCGTCTGGAGGAGTACTGTATCCTCTATTTGTTTTCCTCTGTCGTCTTCTGACTAGATCTGAAGTTCTACTGCCTCCTCCCATGACAAGGATCGAAAATCTCCCAAACTGCGTCATCATCCGGTACGTGAAAAATTCTGTAAAAGAGACAGCCACTTCTCAACTAAAAACAGGCGCACCTGGACCTGCACAATTTCCACAAGCCTAGCCTAGCCTGGCCCCTTGTTTTCACGGGCGAGATCAGGAATGAGCGACTTTTATTGAACTGCTCGCATTTACTTCCTTTGCAGCTTCCCGTATGAGCACATCGTTATGAATCGCCGGCTTTCTGGATTGTGTATCTCGTGAACGTTATGATTTCTTTTTGGTATACCAGATGCAAACCTCTCCAGAGAAAAGGGAAACGTTATTTCCGAAGTGTCGTTTCATTTCTGACGACGCGAATGTACGTTTCCTGATTGAACATGGTTAATTTGATCATGTTGGTCACATTTTTGAAAATTTCCCTTCGGTCGGTGAGTTTCTTGAGCAAACCTTCGCTGTCAAGGTGAAGATATCGATATCTTGACATGTTAGTGCTCTTGTAGTAGAAATGGCAACGATCGCTAGCAGAGGAGCAATAAGCAGTGCTTGAACGTCTGGCCTTTCTTAACCTCTTTGGCGGCATATGTTTTTGGTAGCCTTGAGCAGGAACTCGATGCCGGCCGCAGCGAGCTGCTCGCTGAAGAACCTGATATCCTAGTCGACATGGATCATTAACAACAACAGGTACATAGCAGGAAGCGTAGATTACTGCAATTGTAACGCACAGGACGGTCACGAAAGCTTTTAGTGTTGGTTGTGAGTTGCACTCTTTGTTGAACATTGCAGTTGTGCAAAACCAACACGTATCATCTGACAGAATGGCGCTGGAGGGCCCTCGAATTGGAAATGTACCAATTGCCAATACCAGTTCGCACGCCAACATCAAACAACGACGTGGAAGAACAACTTTTTCTTTCTTCATTCTTTTGAAAAGTGGTCACTCTATTAATCTAACAACAAGTGCACAAGAAAAAGTATAAATGTTAAATTCAGCAATCCGTTGGAGCCACGTTTCCCTGAATAAGTTGGGAAATGCGGTCCATTCCCGTATAGAGGCTGTCAATAAGCTTTCAGTCGACATTGTTCCATGATCAATGATTGCCTCTTTAAGCCCCCGGACATTTTGGATTCGCATTGTTCGCATAGATTTAACGCACCATGAAGCCCCACACAATCTCGACTGGTTTTAAGCGGGGCTATTTGCTGGTCAGGGCAAGTTGGCCAGCGATTTGATCGCGACTAAAACACGCTCGAGTGCTTCGGCTGGCATGAATTGGTGCATTATCTCAATGAAAACGGGACTTTCTTGCCGCTTACGCCAGAAAGAAAGGAGACCTTGTGGCATGACGTTCAGATAATTGGAAGGAACCATTTTCTTCGATACGGAGCACAGCTTAAGACGTTCCGTTGATGTGATGGCAGCCCAGACCATGACACCAACTCCTCTGAGGCTACGCCTGGGAAAAAGAAGCTTCTCATTCCTCAGCTCTGCCAGCAGAAGAAGAGCGTGCCGGTCTTCGTTTGGGTCTTTGCAGTTGGGTTTTTTTTTCTCATCATTTTTCTCACCAGAAAACGGGACCTAGAGAAAAGAAATGAAGAGACAGGACAGACATGCTGTACGGCACTCCAATCGGCAACATCTAGCAAAGGCATTTGTCAGAAGCGTTTCATATTCCCCTGGGGATGAAGTCGGGACTTTTTCAAAACGCGCCGAACAGCATCCTTCGGGACATCGACATTCCTTGAATCTTCTTAGCGATAATCTATCCTTTTTCGAAGTGTGATAATGGAATTCTACTTGCCATAGCCTAGAAAAGCAAGAAGTCATAATGATGAGAAGTTTTACCTAACAAAAATGAGATGCAGCGGGAAAATATGCGGTGGAACTATCATTTTGCTGCATTGTCAGAACGACCATTTTTCAAAAATTGACGAAAAAAAATTGTTCTCTCAAGTTAGTGTTTGGTGTTGACATGCACCGCATCGCATGATATGGTATCGGTAATTGCCACATCTTCTGTATGGGGGCATTATTAAAAACGTCGTGAAAGACGGGATGTTGTGAGATTTATGGTGAACTATCATTTTGCTTCGTAGTTATGTGTTAATGATCACTTCTGGAGAGTAACAGCTTCTCAGTTGGATATGGGTTTTCTTTTTTTGGAGCATGTACCCTTCTGAACACACTTCATATTTGTTGTCTTGTGCTCTCTACTTCTACTCCTCCCGTGATGCCTTGAAGCTTATTAGAGCCATTAGCCCAACTTGTTTGAGCACGCTGGTGCACCTGTCATCAGAATGAAGGCGAAGCATGTGAGTATCGAGGACAACGGAGTCGTAGACTGTATGTGGCTGTGCAAGGTGTTCACATAACTGGATTCCTGCGTGTCTTGCTGATCTTTTCTGTACTCTACTCTTGGTTTTTTCCTGAGATTGTACCTCTTACTTTATCTTTTTCGAGTAGATCCCTGCAGAGATGTATCCTCTGATGTCTTCTTTCTTTCCATTGGAGTGAGCGTGGGGTGATCTTAAAGTTCCAAAGGAACTAGCAGATTTACCGGTCTAGCAACTGCTTGCCAGCAGGTGTACGCATCACCGCTTCCCGCGTACTGCAGTTCTGTTCCTTCTATCCTTCTATGAGGTCAAGTATTCTTGCCATTCTCCAACTATTGCGTGGGATGTTTGGATCCGCTATAGCACGACTGCCTCAGTTCCGGACTCTTCTTTCCCTGGCGTTTCTGACTATGTTCAGTTTGGGCACTTCACGGAGGCTGCTCAGGTACATATTGTACCACGTTCTCCAAAATTGTTCTGTGAGTTTATGGATGATGCCAGCGGCGTTTCCGCTGGTTGCCCTGTCTGAAGTGATGAGAGCAGCGTACAGCATCGTGATGTGTGGAATGAAGATTTTCTTACAACCCCCCACCCTCCCCGAAACGAGATCTCGGTACGACCCCCCCCCCTCTGGCCCTAACTATAGGAACTAGAAGGATAGACGTATACGTAACGATTTGCCTGCTAGCTAGCCGAAGGAGGCTTCTGACACCGCCCGCAGCCCGCGATAGGCTTATTGGATAGCAGGTAGACGGAGGCCCTCAAAATCATCAAATAAAGACAATAAGTAAAATCACTACCTTCTAGGTGCTTGCAAGGCATATCCGGCTATCTCAATTTTGTTAGAGGGAAATACTAAAATATTACATTGAATAAACTACATAATTTGGATATAAACACTTGAATAGGACAAAATAACCGTAACCACATACAAATATTGCATAAATTAGAGATACTTATCTGTATTACAGAGTAGAGAAAAGCTTAAACATCGACCATACTCTGCGCGTAAATCTCTCAGGTAAGGAGAGCAGCCCTGAACGTGGCCCGAGCTGCGATTCGAGCGCAAAATGGCGCTGGAGCTTTGACTGTTGACAAGGGGGAATTGCGGCGCATTTTCCGAGCTTAATCACTTTTTAGGAGAAGAGCTCGGGAAAAGGGAGGCGGCATACCAACGCCATCTTTATACTCTTCCGTTTTCCACGTAGTCGCAATCTTTTCCCTCGTTCGTGAAATATTTCGGATGGGTTACGGATGGGTTAGGGGTATATCGTGAGCGGGTTTTTGATGCTTCATACGGAAATCTTTTCTTCCGAACGCAATCTTTTGCAAAACTAAGGACATCATCAAACGCCCAGGCTTTTCTCTTTCCTAGCGAGTTCTGCAGCTCCTTCGAGGACCCGCTAGTTTAGAAGATATTTCAGATGGGTTATTTTCGCGCGAGGTTCTTAGCCACACAAAAGCTTGACTCTTTCTGTGCCATCGTGGGATACTCGTTCGCGCACTTCAATATGTCCTCAAAACAAATATCTCCGTTGAACTGAGTCAAAGCGTAATTGTTATCGTCGATCGATTTTTCTCGTGTGTGCGCCGTGCATACGCTTCTACGCAGAGGTGCTGGAAAGGTGTAACCCTGAGTTTCGGTGATTTTTGTCCATGCGAGCAGAGTTAGGTAGTGTTGTTTTGTTTAGGGTTGGAAAGGTCGATACGCACAAATCTGTTTTAGATGTATTATTTAGTCATCTACATAATTACGAGTCCATGCTAAGTATTGAAATTGCTAGTCAATTGATTTGATATTTTGTAGTCTTCCTTACATTACGGATCCTCTGCTGCTTCTCGTCCGCTCCACCGAGCATAGCGATGACTTCTTCGTGCTACTCGATGATAACCGACCCCACCCTTACGAACCCCCCCCCCTCTCCCCAGCGGCCATGTACGACCTCCCCCTATGGGTTTCACATAACGACGCTGAACCCTGGATGAGAGTTTCCTCGGAGGGAGTACTGTGGATCTTCGCTGTGTTGTTGTTTGCTTTCGAGTGGATACGTCACTTCGACTTAGTTGATAATGAACTGATGGGTCGCACTGGTTTGACCTCGTCATAAAGTTCTCTTAATACGTAAAGGCCGACTATTAAGGCTTCCTTCAAATCCGGTCATGAGCGTAGTCAGTTCTGCTGTGGTCAAGATCCGGCTAACTGCTGTCTTATAAAAGGGATGCTCTGTAGATTTGTTCAGCCTTTCACATACGGCGTGGTATATGGTGTGATGGATTGACCAGACTGTGCCTTACCTCGCAAGGTTCGACTAGAAGTTTTCGTCTTCTATGACCTGTTGAACTGTTTCACGTAAAATTTGTTCTCCCAGAACGAACGAAGGGCCATTGCATAATGTAATTGTTGATGGTGGGCAAAGAACCTTCTTAAAGCCATTAATAATTTCTCCGTCGGCATGTCATGAATCATTTCAAGGTGTTTTGAAATTGTTGTCGTTGTCATGCCTCTGATGATTAGTCCGTACAGTTGTTGCCACGTTCATTCTTCTTTACCGTCAGGAGTCCAAAGTAGTCTGTGCCGACGTTTTCAGTTGATTTCGCCCGTACTACTCCCCTTTCAGAAAAAGGATCGATGACAGGATAACGATATGGTAAATTGTTAATTTTCTGGCAGGGACGCATTTTTTCCCAGGGAGGTTTGGACTCTCTTCTCAACTGTATCCAAAATGTTTCCCTTACTTGTGCAATAGTATGTGACGTGCTAAGGTGGAGTGGACTGTGTGCTTCTTCACAATGCATTTTGCCAGTGGTATTTTCGCACCTATGAAGAATGGTTTCTGCGCTGTTTCTGGAATCGGGGCTTTGTCGAAGCGTCCAAAACAGCGCAGAAAGCCGTTTTCGTCATGCTTCAAGTTCAGGCACTTTACGGATTCGCAGGGTTGCGTCGTGATGTGCACTTGCCGATAATTACGGATGGTGACATTCATGGCAGCCGTCCTTTCCATGGCAGCTGTCTCTTCTTGTGGGGAAAGGTATGTTGTTCAATCCTTACATTTGCGTGCTGGAATGGAATTCTAAATGCAGCCTTTCAGCTGAGCATTAACTTGTGCGATTCCTCCGAGGAAACGCAAAGCATCGGTATTTGTAGCAACTGCCGAATTCAAGGTGTTATGCCGTTTGCAGTAAAGTGACTCATCCATCTTTTCTCTCGCTTTTGCCTGTCATTGATAAGCAATTCTAAATTTCATCTTCCTAGGTGTCTCCAGTCACATCTTGCAGAAGCGCGAAGATTTTGCAACTCTCAGGCCATCGGTTATCAGGAACTTTCAGTAAATCGGGTCCTGTCCACCATCTCGTGGTTGGCCGCACCAGTCGAGGTTAATCCCCTGGTTACATGATGTGCGGGATTGTCTTTTGTGTTTACGTATCGATCGCACGGGGACATCGATA